ACTGGCTATCAGTATAGAAATTAGCGACAGGTATGGAGAAGGAAGAACCTGCGAAAACCTAGGAACTTTGTTCCAATGGCGTGGTCAATATGATAAGGCCCGAGAATATATGGAAAAGGCACTCGCTATCAGTATAGAAATTGGCGATAGGAATGAAGAAGGAAGAAGCTACAGAAACCTAGGAACTTTGTTCCAATCGCTTGGTCAATATGATAAAGCCCGAGAATATGCGGAGAAAGCACTTGCTATCAGTATAGAAATTGGCAACAGGGGTGGAGAAGGAAAAGACAACGGAAACCTAGGAACATTGTTCCATTTGCTTGGTCAATATGACAAGGCTAAAGTATATTTGGAGGAAAGTTTACGTATCAGTAAGAGAATTGGTGACAGGAACGGAGAGGCACTTGTTTATTCCAACCTTACAAGTTTGTTTCTCTCGCTCGGCAAGTTTGCAATTGCTGACGACTATCTAAAGATGGCAATGGCAATAAGAGTGAATACTGGTGATAGAAGGGGAGAGGCAGTGGATTGCAGACAACTCGGGTTCATCTCGCATCTGTGTGGTTTATATGACAAGGCGCAAGAATATCTCGAGAAAGCCCTGGCAATTCTCATAGAAATCGGTGACAGAGAAGGAGTAGTAGTCGATTACGTAAATTTGGGATCGTGCTTCGAATCCCTCGGTAACTATGATATGGCCGAAGAATACTTCAAGAAGGCTCTCCTTTTAAGCGGGGAGACTGGACTCAACCTGGAGGAGTTTCAATGCCTTTGTAAGCTTTCTGTGTTAAAGATATCACAATTTCATCTTGAAGAAGCCTCTTCGTATCTTTTTCAAAGCATCGAAAAATTCGACACTTTGCGAGGTTCTCTTAAGGAAAACGATCAGTTTAAAATATCCCTTTTAGAGAAGCACGGCACCTTTCCCTACAAGTTGTTCAGTCGGTTGCTTTCTTCCGCCGGGAAGTCAGAAGAAGCCCTTTACGTCGAAGAGCTTAGACGGGCAAGAGGCTTAGCCGACTTGATGGCCGCTCGATACTCTGTTCAAGAGCTCATTTCAGGCAATCCACAATCTTGGCGTGGCATTCAAGAGATTATCAGAAGAGAAGCAGACTGTACATGCCTGTACATTTCGGTTGGTAAAAATGAAGTACGGTTTTGGATTCTCACAGCAATGGGAGCTATTATTTTTTCAGAAAAGACAGTGAGCCTTCAAGCAAACGTTGTGACCGGATTAGTCCCTGATTTAGATGAGTTTTTCAAAGACAGCTTTCGCAGCCTCGCCATTTTACCCGAACAGAATTGCGAGGATCGATCCCTGAATGACACCAAACTGATACCTCTTCACCACGACAACCGAGCAGTCCCGCGTGACCATGATGCCAAGGATTTCAAAACAAATCTTCACTTGTGTTACAAGATAATCATCGCTCCTGTGGCCAGTTTACTGAAGCAGCCCGAAATCATTATTGTCCCTGACTCCTGCATGTACCAAGTACCATTTGCAGCCTTGGCTGACGAAGGAGGCAAGTATTTATCAGAGACATTCAGGATTCGGATGGTTCCCTCTCTGACGACTCTCAAGTGTGTTCAAAACAGTCCTCCAGACTATCACAGTCAGACAGGGGCACTAATAGTGGGTGACCCTGAGGTTGGAGCTGTTATCTACAAGGAAAGGCGCAGAACCATAACACCATTGCTGTGTGCAAGGAAGGAAGCAGAAATGATTGGAAGACTTCTCGGTGTAACGCCTTTGATTGGAAATTCCGCGACAAAGCATGCTGTACTCCAAGCGATAAACTCAGTGAGCCTCATACACATTGCTGCCCATGGTGATGCCGAACGAGGGGAGATGGCTCTTTCTCCTGAGCACCCTACCTTACTCCCACCTTTTCCTCATGAAGAAGATTATCTTTTGACGATGGCGGATATTTCAAAGACCCAGCTGCGAGCTAAACTAGTGGTGCTTAGTTGTTGCCACAGCGCTCGTGGACAGATTAGAGCCGAGGGAGTCATTGGAATCGCCCGAGCGTTCTTAGGATCCGGCGCTCGCTCGGTGTTAGTGGCACGATGGGCCCTGGATGACACAGCCACAGAGCAGTTCATGACTTGTTTCTACAAACATTTGTTCTGTGGTGAAAGTGCCACTGAATCCCTTC